AGCAGAGTCCGCATAGCGGCCCCGCGCTCAGTTTGACACCCCCTGCGCACGTTTCGTGGCCCCACGGGGAGTTCCGCGGAAGGCTCCAGCGGCAGGGTCCGCATGGCGGCCCCGCACCCATTTTGGCACACCCCTCACCCCTCACACGTTTGGTCGTGGCCCCACTGGAAGCTCCCCCGAATGCCACAGCGGCAGGGTCTGCACTGCGGCCCCGCGCCCATTCGGCACAGCGCTTCGTAGCCCCGGAGGGAGCTCCACCGACGGCCTCACTGGCAGGGTCCGCAGGGTGGCCCCGCGCCCATGTCGGAAAGAGCGTGTTCTACCGCTGCTGGCGGAAAACCTGGGGCGTCACTGGGGGTTCCCAACCCGTCCCCCCCCCCTTCGAAAACCTGGGGGGGGTCACTACTGGTTCGAACCTCCCCCCTCCTCTGTCCATCATGAAAAGAGGGTGGGGTCACTACCGGTTCGAACCCCCCCCCTGCGAAAACCGGGGGGGGTCACTATCGGTTCGAACTTCCCCCCCTCCCTCGCCGCCGGCAAACGATTCCCGCTCCTCGGGACAGTTGGACAGTGGTGGGGATACTGGGACAGTGGCGGGAACGGTGGTGGGGGGGACAATTGTGTGGGGACAGTGGGACAGTGGTGCGGACAGTGGTGGGGATGGTGGTGGTGGGGAAATTGGTGAGGGGACAGCGGGACAGTGGTGGGGACAGTGGGACAGTGGCGGGGACGGCAGTGGTGGGGACAGTGGTGAAGGCGAAGGTGAGGACGGTGGTGGGACAGTAGTACAGTGGGGAGAGTGGTGGGGACAGTGGGGACAGTAGGACAGCACAGTGGGACAGCGGCGGGGACAGTGGGGACAGTGGGACAGTGGTGGGAACAGTGGGGACAGTGGGACAGTGGTGGGGACTGTGGGACAGTGGTGGGGACGGTGGTGGTGGGGACAGAGGTGTGGGGACAGTGGGAATGTGGTGGGGACAGTAGGACAGTGGTGGGGACAGTGGTGGTGGGGACTGGTGAGGGCGGTGGCGAGGACGGTGGTGGGACAATGGGACAGAGGTACAGTGGGGACAGTGGTGGGGACAGTGGTGGGAACAGTGGGACAGCTCAGTGGGACAGCGGCGGGGACAGTGGGACAGTGGGGACAGTGGGGACAGTGGGGACAGCGGTTGGGACCGTGGGGAAAGGGGGGAGAGTGGGACCGCGGTGGGAACAGTGGTGGGGACTGTGGACAGTGCGACAGTGGTGGCGGCAGTGGTGGGGACAGTGGGGACGGTGGTGGGAACAGCGGGGACAGTGGTGAGGACAGTGGTGCTGGGGACAGCAGTGGGGGTTCGAACGGGTAGTGATCGAGCCGGCAGTGACCCCCCTTGGTTTTCTGGAGGTGGGGGGGCGGTTCGAACCGGTGGTGACCCTCCCCAGGTTTTGGAGGGGGGGGGAAGGGTTCGAACGGGTAGTGTGACCCCCTTCGGTTTTCTAGAGGGGGGGGGGAGGGGTTCGAACCGCTAGTGACCCCCCCTCCCCCGGTTTTCTGGAGAGGGTGGGGGGGGGGGTTGGATGGGGGGGGGGTCCAGCAGGGGGGGGAGTTTTCGGAGGGGGGGGGACCCCGGGTTCCAGAGGAAGAGGGGGGGAATTTTCCACAGGAAGGCGGCGGTGGATCACGCTCTCTCCCATGTCGGCACACCCCTCACACTATCCGTGGCCCCATGGGGTCTTGCCGCTCCTAGGTCCCACGTGCCTTGCGGCACCCCGCCCGCATATGTTTGGGTCCTTCGCCTGGATAATAATTTTCTCCTCCGTCTCACTTTCTCTACCCCCGTCTCCCTGTCCCTCTCTCTCTCTCTCTTTTCCGGCGTGTGCGAAAGGATTCGATAATTTCAGGTTGGGGATGCTGAGTGCTTTTCATTTGTTCTCTCGCTTCAGCCATGGCAGCAAATTACGCTTGCGTACCTTTGTTTGTTTCGCTCGCTGGTGGTGTTGCGCTGAACGTGCGCGAAACGAAACGCGACAGTATTGCATGGCTTCACTTCGGCGAGGCGGACCTTGGCGGAGCGGGGCAAACGCATTAGCGGCGCGGCACGCAGATGCTTTCTGCAAGCGAGCGAACAAGTTGACCGCGCGGTTTGTCTGGATTTGCCTGTGTGTATATTTCTAAAACCATACGTACATAGTTCATGACATAATTGAGCAGGTGCTCTTCTGGGAAGAGCGCGCCAACTGGGGCCGAACCCTCCCTTCACCTCCGCCGCCTCCTCTTCTTCCTTGCCCTCCTCACCCTCCCTCCTTGCTTGCCGCCCTCCTTCTCTACCTCATCATCTTCCTCCGACTCTTTTTACTCCTCGCCCTCCTCGTGCCTTGTTAGCCGAACCTCCTTTCAGCTAGCCGCCTTGCCGCCGCGGGCAGGCCGTTCCCGCCGCCTGGGGCCGCCCGCTCAGCTGCCGCTGGCCCCGCGGCGCCCCGGGAGCGCCCGGGCGGGCCTGGCCAGCCGCCGCCCGCCGCCGCCGCCGCCGCCACCCTGCGCCTCGTGCCGCGGCGCCCGGCCCGTCGCCGCTAGTCGCCGCCGGCCGCTCGTCGCAGCGCCGTGCCGCCGGGCCTGTCGCCGCCGCCGCTGCCCTCAGCAGCGTTCGCGCCCGGCCTCGGGGCGGCGCTGACGCGCTGCTTTCGCCCTCTGCGCGGCCGCGCCGCCGCCGGCCGCCGCGCTTCGCCGCGGTGCCTGGCCCGTCGCCGCCTGCCGCCGGTCGGCCGCCAGCCGCCGCGCCTCGCCGTCGGGCCTGCCGCCGCTGGCCGCCGCGCCCGCCGCCGCAGGTCGCTGGGCAGAGGGTTGTGGCGTTGGAGCGCTGCATCCTCCCCCGTCAGCCCTTGGACGAACCTGCGGCGGCGCTGCGCCTCGCCGCCGGCCGCGTCCGGCCTGCGCCGCGCCGCCGGGTCTGCCGCCGCTGGTCGCCGCCGCCACCTCTCTCGGCAGCGCTCGCGGCTGCCCTCGGGGCGGCGCCGGCGGCGCTGCGTTCGCCCTCCGCGCCGCCGCGCTGCCTCGGGCCGACGCCGGCGTTTCCTCTTCCGCCTCAGTCGCCGCCGCCGCTTCCTCCTCCTCCTCTTCCTCCTCCTCCTCCTTCTCCTCCTCCTCCTCCTCCTCCTCCTCCTCCTCCTCCTCCTCCTCCTCCTCCTCTGTGCTGCTGGCTGCTCTCGTGGTGCTGCTGGTCGCCGTGCTGCCCCTGGTCGTGGTGGTGCTGGTCGCCGTGGTGGTGCTGGTCGTAGTGGTGCTGGTCGCCGTGGTGGTGCTGGTCGTGGTGGTGGTGGTCGTGGTGGTCCTCCTGGTCGTGGTTGTGCTGGTCGTGTTGGTGCTGGTCGCTGTGGTGTTGCTGGTCGCCGTGGTGGTGCTGGCCGTGGTCGTGGCGGTGCTGGTCGTGGTGGTGGTGGTTGTCGTGGTGGTCCTCTGGCCGTGGTCGTGCTGGTCGTGGTGGTGGTGGTGGTGCTGGTCGTGCAGGTCGTGGTCGTGTTGGCCGTGGTCGTGGTGGTGCCAGTCGCGGTGGTCGTGGTGGTCCTCCTGGCCGTGGTCGCGCGCGTCGTGGTGGTGGTCGCCGTGGTGGTGCTGGTCGTGGTGCTGGTCGTGGTGGTCCTCCTGGTCGTGGTGGTGCTGGTGGTGGTGCTGGTCGCCGTGGTGGTGCGTAGTCGTGGTGGTGCTGGTCGCCGTGGTAGTGCTGGTATTGGTGGTTGTGGTGGTCGTGGTGGTGCTGGTAGTAGTAGCCCTCCTGGTCGTGGTGGTGCTGGTGGTAGTGGTGCTGGTCGCCGTGGTGGTGCTGGTGGCCGTAGTGGTGCTGGCCGCCGTGGTGGTCCTCCTAGTCGTGGTGGTGCTGGTCGCCGTGGTGGTGCCGGTCGCCGTGGTGGTGCTGGCCGTGGGCATGGTCGTGCTGGTCATGGTGGTGGTGGTCGTGGTGGTCCTCTGGCCGTGGTCGTGCTGGTCGTGGTGGTGGTGGTGCTTGTCGTGCTGGCCGTGGTCGTGCTGGCCGTGGTCGTTGTGGTGCTGGTGGTGGTGGTGGTCGTGGTGCTCCTCGTGGCCGTGGTCGCGCTGGTCGTGGTGGTTGTCGCCGTGTTGGTGGTGGTCGTGGTGGTCGTGCAGGTCGTGGTGGTGCTGGTCGTGGTGGTGCTGGTCGCCGTGGTGGTGCTGGTCGCGGTGCCGGTCGCCGTGGTGGTGCTGGTCGCCGTGTTGGTGCTGGTCGCCGTTGTGGTGCTGGTCGTGGTAGTCCTCCTGGTCGTGGTGGTGCTGGTCGTGGTGGTGCTGGTCGCTGCGGTGGTGCCGGTCACTGTGACGGTGCTGGTCGTGGTGGTGCTGGTCGCCGTGGTGGTGCTGGTCGCCGTGGTGGTGCTGGTCGTGGTGGTCCTCCTGGTCGTGGTGGTGCTGGTCGTGGTGGTGCTGGTCGCCGTGGTGGCGCTGGTCGCCGTGGTGTTGCTGGCCGTGGCCGTGGTGGTGCTGGTATTGGTGGTTGTGGTGGTCGTGGTGGTCCTCCGGCCGTGGTCGTGCTGGTCGTGGTGGTGGTGCTGGTCGTGCTGGTCGTGCTGGCCGTGGTCGTGCTGGCCGTGGTCGTGGTCGTGGTCGTGGTGGTCTTCCTGGCCGTCGTCGCGCTGGTCGTGGTGATGGTCGCCGTGGTGGTGCTGGTCGTGGTGGTCCTCCTGGTCGTGGTGGTGCTGGGCGTGGTGGTGCTGGTCGCCGTGGTGGTGCGTAGTTGTGGTGCTGGTCGCCGTGGTGGTGCTGGTCGCCGTGGTGCTGGTCGCCGTGGTGGTGCTGGCCATGGCGGTGCTGGTCGCTGGTGTCCTCCTCCTCCTGCTCCTGGTGGTCGTGGTCGTCGTCGTGCTGGTGACGGTGCTCTTCGTAATTGTGGTGGTGGTGGCGGTGGTTGTGGTGCTGTTCGCCGTCGCTCTGCTGTCGGCGTTCCTGCGAGCTCCTGTGCCCCGCCCTGCACGCGCGCGCCCCCGCGCGGGGGCTGGTGCCCTCAGGGGGGCGCCGACAGAACGTCCCCTCGCTGGGGATTCTCCCTGTCTGTCGCTAGCGTCTCAGAGGGCACGTCCTCGCGCAGGCTCGGGGCAAGGGCGTCGTGGAGGGCGTACGCCAACATGCCGCTCCACTTGTGTAGCAGTGCGGTCTCAAGCGACCTTCGCAGCGCTGCCGGCGCGCTCCTCGCCTGGGCGCGGGCCAGGGTGACGGAGCTTGTACGCCTCCTCGTCCCAGCGGCCGCCCGTCCTGGATCCGGCCACGAGCAGGTCGCCCCGCCGCGAGCCCACAAGCTCAGGGTAAGTCGTCTGCTTGCGGCGCCTCGCCCGTTTCAGCGCGAGTCCTGGGCGGAGCTTCCCGCAATCGGCCTGCCGGTTACTCTCAGCAGGGACACGATGCAGGCGTTGATGGCGAGCCGCCTGCCGTGGTAGGCAGGGGGGCCGCTGGCCACCACCTCGATGCGGCGCCCGTCGGTGGCAGCCAGGCCCCGGATGTTCATGTCGCGCAGGAACACGTTGGTGCGGACACGGCCTCCTGCCGCCCGGCACCCAGGCCCACATCCGCTCGATGGGGGCGCCGCGCTTGAGCAGGCGTCCGCTGCGGGGGCTAGCTGCTTTGTGGTCGCCTCTCTCGTCCAAGTGGGCCTGGCAGGAGCGCCCGTTGCACCTGCTTGCTGTGGCGTTCAGCTGTAAGCGGGGCCGTCTCTGGAGCAGTTCCTGGAAGCGCTCTTGCGTGAACGTGCTTTCAGGTGTCGACGGGATCAGGGCCAGGTGCCGTCCGCCGCAGCGGCCTCCCTGCGAGTCGAGCCTCCAGAGCTGGTCGTCCGTGAGGCTCGGGAGAACGACCTCCTCCCTGTAGCGCCGCTCTCGGGCTGCTGAGGCGTGGTACTGCCAGTCCTGCTTCCGCTCACCCGGTCCTGGCTCTGTCTGTTCATGGCGCGCGCCGTCCCAGACCTCCTGCCAAGTTGGGCACGTCGCAAGACCGTCGCAAAGCCGTCGCGGACGGCGGCAGCCCTCGCGCGCTCTGCCTCCTGGAGGCACGCGGCTGCGGCGCCAATACCGGCGCGGAGGGCGACGGTGAGCTCCGTTGCTGCTGAAAAGGGTTTCTCTGTCGCAGCATGGGGGGCGCGTCCGCCCAGGACGCCCAGTACGCGCACGGGGTCGTGCGCGCTGCAGAGGTCCTAGGCCGCCGAGGCCGAAGGGCAGCAAGCTCACTCGGAAGAGTCTTTCTTCCTCAGCTGGCTCCCGGTCGAGGTCAAGGAGGCCGTGGAGCGCCTCCTGCAACGAGCGGTCGTGGGCCTCGTCGTACGGCCGCGACAACGACGGAGGCAGCGTGCGCAGGACGTGATTGCACGATGGCGCCCCGCAGGAGCGCGCACGCGCACTGCAGGTCTGGAAAGTTGGGGAGTTCCCGTAGGAAGCTGCGCTCGTCCGTCCTCTCCTGCGTCCGCCGGGCAGCGGACGCCGTGGTGCCCAGGGGCGTGCCGAGAACCCGAGGCCGCGGCGCTCGTTATGTTCCCTTTCATTTCATACCGCTTGCGACGACGTCCGGTCGGGCGCCCACGCCCCCGCCCGCGAGCGCGTCGCGCCGTGCTGTCAGTCCCTGCGGCGGCTTACTCAGCTATCACTTGGACGCTGCGGGCGGTAGAGAGCTGCGAGGTGGCTTTCACGCCCCATCGTTGGCCCCCCAAGGAGTGCGAGTGCTCACCAGCCCAGGCCGCTCATGGGCCCCGCTCGCGTTAGGGACATCCATGCGGCGCCCAGGGGGCTGGCCAGCACCACACAAAGCAACATCACGGTGAGAAGGCTAGCAGCAGCGACTGGCAGAGCCCCGTACCCTCTCCTGCATGCTGGGGCCACTGCCCCGACACGGCGAGCGTACAGACCCCCTGCCTGCTCGCACCCGAGGGTTGCGACGGCAGCGCGCACCGCCATGGGGGGGCGAGGCCGGACAACAGGGAGAGCAGGAGCAAAAGCAGGGGGCAAAGCGCGCAGACACATGGCGCGGGGAGCTGACGAGGCGCGCAGCTGGCGGCAGCACCCGGACAGCTGTCCGCTCGCAGTGGTCTAGTGCTAGCGGGTGCCGCGCGGACGTCTCCACCTCATCGCACAGCGCCTCCCCCTGGGCAACGATCGGGTGCCTCCCCCACCCACGGGGCCATGCCCAGGTGCGGCGAACGCCCCTGGCGCCCCAGGGCGTGCGAAGCGGAGGAGGAGGGGAAAGAGCGAGGGCGGAAACAGGTTTGCCCACCCCAGCACGCAGGACTGTGATTAGATGCGGCGCGCGCCCTTTGCACCCCATATACATCGCGAGGGCCACGGTTGGCGGAAGCACAGGGGGGGCGGCAGAGTGGCAGCACCTAGAGGAAAGAACGCACGCCACACGCGCATACCCTGCTTATCCCAAGTGCGCCCTGCAAATCGTTACAGCAACATAGCGAATTTGAGCCACGCGCGTCTCCTCAGGCACTCCTTCCCTGAACAGCTGGAACAAAGCGAGGGCGCGGGCAGGGGGGGCAGGAAGTGCAATCGTTGGCCCCGAAATTGCCCGGTGACCAGCTAGGGCGGGGCACTGGAGGAGGGCGTGAGACACGTCAACTCGTCAGGCGTGTTGGCGCCGCCCACCCCGACGTCTGTGTCCAGAGCCAAGTGCCTTGTACCCTGCTGGTTCAGAAGCCCCCGCGGGTCCACAGGCGGCGGCTGGCGGCGCGAAGACCGCGCGGTGGCCGGCGGACCCGCCGGGCCGCTTAAGGCGACCGCGGGCGTCGGCAGCCCAGCCAGGGGGCCAGCCAGCCGGAGGGAGTCAGGTGCAGCGGCCCCTTTCGCTGCGGACTCGGCCAGGGACTGGGACTGGGACCTTGGGAAAGGAAACAAACAAAAAAAAAAAAAAAAAGTTCACTGCGAGGCCCGCCCATTCCCGCCTGGCGGTGGTGACCACGTCGAAGGCTGCTGTGGCGCGCCCTGGTCAGCAGACAATGCCGACGTCGTCCAAGTACGCGATCAGCGTCTCGCCCGGCGGCAGCTGCGCGCGAGCCCTCTCCAGAGCGCCGTGCTGGGCCAGGGCGTTAAGCGCCGGCGTGAGCGGATCGCCCTGCTCTCCTCCGTCCCCCTGCGTCACCTCGCGGGCGACTCCCGCGTCGTTTGTCCAAGGAGGTGCGTGGACTGCTGGCCGTGGGATAGCAGGACAAACGGAACCAAGGCAGAGGCCTCCGGCAGGGACAGGATCTTCTCGATCAGGCGGTTGTGGCGCACGTGGTCGAAAGCGCCGAGTCCGTCGATGCTCACGATGGTCGCTGCAAGGTCTGAGTCCGTGGCCGCTTGGAGGAAGTGGGCGGCGCTGTCTTTGCCAGCTCTCGTTGAAAGCGCTGACCCTGAAACGGCGCGCAGGCGTCGTCCATCTCGGCCCGGAACTGCCGGGAGAGGGTCTTGCGGACAAGCCTCCGAAAAGGCGTCCCCTGCGACAGTGCCTCGTGCGCGGCCGTTGTCCTCCAGCAGCACCGTCAGGCGGCCGGTCCCGAGAGCACGGGCGACGCTCGCCGGGATCTCCGCCCATGGCAGCTTGCACTCGAGCGTGTCGTTTTCGTCCAGGGCCAGCATGAGCAGTTCGAAGCTGGCGCCCCTTAGGGAGCTGGACGACCCTTTCGGGGCAGAGCGGCCGCGGTTGGTCCAGACGCGGCGGTCGAGCTCGACGGGCCGGGCCGGCTGGAACCCTCGGGCGGCTGTCGGCAAGTTGGCAGCGGGCCTCGGCGGTCGCCGGGCGGGGTCCTGCAGTTCTGCCAAGGTCTCCACAGTGCCCGGCGCCAGCCCGCGCGAGGCGAGAAGCTGTCGCGCCTTGCTGCGGCTCCCTGCTCTGACTGGCGCCACCGCGTCTTCCAGGAGGCGCTGGCGCCTCGCCTCGGCGTCGCCTGTGTCGCGCGCTTCTCCCGGGGGCCACTGCCCTTGCGGGCTGGTGGCCAGCAGCGCTTCCCAGCAGCCCTCCTCGAACTGTCCCAGTCGCGCTTCAACCTCTCGCCGCCCTTGCGCTCCAGAGCTTGCTTTCCGTCGCAGCAGCATGCGCCACATGAGGACCAGGAGCTTCCACGCCCTGCCCCCCTGCACCCCGTTGTCGTTTGGAAGGGCGTCCCCGCGGAGGACCTCCTCGAGGACCGTGTGGTCGAGCTGGCGGAGGCGGCTGCGGAGGAAGGCCGGCGGCGCCCGATGCACGCCACCTGGCGGCGGAGTTTGGCTTCCAGGTCGACGCTGTCAAGGAGCGCCCAGGCGGCGTCAGTGAAGGCCGAGCGGGCTTGGCGTTGTCGACGCGCCGCGCCGCCGCCTCTGCGTGGCTGGGCCTGCGCTGGCGACGCGTCGTCGGCCCTGTCGGAGGCGCCCTGGCTGTTGCCGCTCTGATCGTCGTCGCTGTCGCTGCGGCTGGTGCTGCTGCTTCCGCTGCTGCTCGGGCTTCTGCGTCCTCCTCCCGCTCTTCCTCCTCTGGCGCCTCTGCCTTTGCCTCTGCCTCTGCCTCCTGTCTCTCCTCTGCCGCCTCTTCCTGTTCTGCCGCCGCTGGCGTTGCCCAGGCTTCTGCCTTCTCCTGCATCCCCTCCGCTGGCGTCGACACTGGGCTGAGGTGCTGGTGGCGCCACTGGTGGCAGCATAGGCGGGTGTGGCGCGGCTGCGGCCGACCTGGCCGGGTCGCGAAGCTCGTCCGCGCGCTGGGCGACTCCCCGCGCCAGCACGACTCCTCCGAAAATCTCGAGCCAGAGGTTCTGGACCAGGTTGTCGATGTGGCCGGTGCTGTCCGCCAGCGCTCTGAGGAGGAGGAGGAGGAGGAGGAGGAGGAGAGGAGGAGGAGGAGGAGGAGGAGGAGGAGGAGGAGGAGGGAGGAGGAGGAGGAGGAGGAGGAGGAGGAGGAGGGAGGAGAGAGGGGGGGAGGAGGAGGAGGAGGAGGAGGAGGAGAGGAGGAGGAGGAGAAGGAGGAGGGAGGAGGAGGAGGAGAGGAGGAGGAGGAGGAGGAGGAGGAGGAGGAGGAGGAGGAGGAGGAGGAGGAGGAGGAGGAGGAGGAGGAGGAGGAGGAAACGCAGGACATGAAGAGGGAGGACAAGGAGACAGAAAGGGAAGAGGCGGCTGATGATGAGGATGCGGACGAGGATGAGGAGGTGGAGGCAACACCAGACAACACAAGACAACACAAGACATCACAATGGAGCCCCGAATCGATTACCCCGCGAGGTCGGACCCCATACCGGCCCCCCGCCCTCATCTTGGCGCCCAGCCACAGGGGTGCCCAGCCTTGGGGACGATCTCCGCACTTTCTCGGACATACCTGCTCGGACGAGCGACGGCCACCTCGGCCGTCTGCTCAGGAGGTGGTGGAGAAGGAGGAGGAGGAGGAGGGAGGAGGAGGAGGAGGAGGAGGAGGAGGAGGGAGGAGGAGGAGGAGGAGGAGGAGGAGGAGGAGGAGGAGGAGGAGGAGGAGGGAGGAGGAGGAGGAGGAGGAGGAGGAGGAGGAGGAGGAGGAGGAGGAGGAGAAGGAGGTTTGGCGGTCCTTGGTCCTTGGTGCGAACGGGAGCCTTTCCTACATTCCTTCCCGCCCCTACCTCACGATCATTACGACAGGGCCGCAAGCTGGCCACGTCACGGTCTCCCCTCCGAGCGGAGTCCGGCAGATGGCGCAGTTGTCTGCCTCGTTGTCCTCGTCTCGCTGCTCATGCTGCCGCTGCGCCTGCGGCTGCTCTTCCGCCGCCTCGTGCTCTGCCCGTTCTGTCGGGCGCTACGGCGCCGGCAGCGGGAACAACCCTGAGAAGTCCCACTGCGCGGCGACCCCCAGCCCTGCAAGCCTGGTCGGGCACGCCGAAACTGCGAACTGCGAACTGCGAACTGCGACCTGCTTGGAACGCCGCGGGGGCGCTGCAGGGTGGGGCCGAAGCACCCAGAAAGCGAC